GTATTCAAGGCCAGGTTGGATGGGGCTTTGAACAACCTGGTCTTGTGAAAGGTGTCCCTGCCCATGGCAGGGGAGTTGGAACTAAGTGATCTTTAAAGTCCCTTCCAACCCAAAAAATTCTATAATTCTGTTTAGAGGGATTATTACTTATGGAGAACATGCTGTGCTTGGAAGGGTAATGTGTGAGAGAAGCACAGTTAGCATGCAGGAGAAGAAAACCAAGTTCCAGGATTCTACTGGGAACTTCAGAATATGTCTGTACTTTTAGTGTCTTTGTGGGTGTAGCTCTACAAAGCCAAATGTGTTTGCTGAAGAAATTGTGAGATAAGAAAGTACCAAAGAACTCACTAGGGTTAGCCAGGTTATCCTGGCTTATCTGGGATAACACTTATGTCCTGGTTTTGGCTGTGGCATGGCTGATTTTCTCCCTAATAGCTGTACAGAACTGCTTTTTTGATTTATGACAAGAATTATGTTTTGTTTTTTGCTAAGTGGTGTTTATCCCAAGTAAACACTATTTTCAGTGTCTCACACTCTGCTGCTGAGGAGCTGCACTCAATGGTGGGAGAGAGTGAGGCCAGGTAAGCTGACACAAACTGGCCAAGGGGATGTTTCACACCAGAGAAGGTCACGCCCAGTGTGTAAACTGGAGGAGTTACCTGGGAGGGGTCTGACTGCTGTTTGGGGATATGCTGAGTGGTGAGCAGTTGTATTGTGCATCTCTTTTTTCTCTCATGTTTGTTACTCTCTCTACCCCCCACTTATTATTATCATCATCATATTTATTATTACTATTATACTATTTTGTTCTCTCGTGAAATTCTTATCCCATCTGTGAGGTTTATCTTTTCTTTCCAATGCTTCTTCTAACCAAGGGGGCTGTCCTTTGGCCCAACACCCTATGACATGGCTGCTCATCTAGCTCAGATTCCCAAATGAAAGGAAAAAATATGTGGTAGAGCTTATAATTTCAAGGTTTTTGTTTAGCAAGAGCTTCACCTTAAAATAGTCGTGAACTTTTGTGAAGCATTGAAATTCCTCCATAGAAGGGACTGAATGAGTTTGCTCTGTTGTGGCAGTTCTTATGTTTCAAGTAGATAGATGCTGTCAGAAACTTGTTTTTAATGTACCATTTCCAAGCTTTGTCAATGTAGTCTTGAAAGTAAGGTGAATTTCCTTTTTCTCTTTTGGCTACAGCTTTCCTCTTTCCAATTGCTCTAAATGGCTGAATACTGAATTAATTTTTCATGTTTATTTCTTCTCTAGGAGACAGGTAATTCATTAATCATTCATTGTCCCTGCAAACATCCCCTAAAAGACTGATTTTTTTTTTTTTTAACTCAAGTATTTTTTGTATGGGGGGAAGTAGATTTCCTTTTCTGTTTACTGAATCGTTAAAATTTGTGTGTACGGTGGTGTGGACTGTGTTCTTGGAGATCTATCAGAAATTTGTCACTGGATGCTGTAGACTTGTTGGACTGTTTATTCTTATCATTCCTTTCTCTGTGGAGATATGAAGCGTAAGAAATGGTTCACTGGGTTCATAAATAATTGAAATAGAGATTGGGGTATTTATAATTTACAAGTCTGTCTCCCCAGCTGAATCAAGCTGGTGGTGTGGCAGAAGTGTATCTGTGTGCAAGAGTGCCAGGCTTGGGCAGGACCCAGGCTTGCTCTGCCTGTGCTCTTCCCTGGGTGACTGGAAGCAGGAGCACGTGTCCTAGGAAAACCAGCTGTGCTCCAAGTGAGCTGTCTGGCATCCTCTCACTTGTTGCTGGATGATTAATAGGGGTGAGGAATTCACAGTTTCATCAAAAGCCAAGTGTGTTTTCTAGATGAAAGATCTTGGGGAAGATTCATATTTAGGTTTGTGTTTAAATGAAATCATTATAAATAATAAACATGAACAAACAGAATGTTTTATTTGACCTCAATCTGTATTTACATCCTCATGAAGCAAATGACATTTAGGATTTAGCTCTGTAGATTGATGTGTTTGTGGAATGAGTTCTTAATTAGATTCTTTAGGCGGTAATAGACTTCATTAATCTGTACTTTCAAGTACTTTTTGTTGGCTATGTAATACACCATGTAAAAAAATAATTGTTAAGAGGTAAGTAATTTAAATAATTTAGGTTGAATTAAAGTGCAGCAATCTCCCCAAATTTATTTATAAATTTCTGCTTTATGTGGAAAGCTTTTCTTCCTCTTGCTGCAGTTAAGCAAGTTGTTTTACACAGTGTTTAGAGACATCTATTTCTATTAATACTGTATTAATGTTTCTGTTCAGTGACATCCATCACCCTGTTATTTGCCTGTACATGGACATGCTTATGTATTTAATCTTTGTGGTTTCTGGATATACTGAGTATGTCTGAACAAAGACAAATTGATCTATTTTTATAATAATATGGATTATGATGCATTGCCCATGAAGACTGCAGTAGTGTTGATAGTGGAAGTATTTTGCTCAGCTCCATTAGATAGAGTTCTGTGAATGAATGAGTTAATTAGTTTGACTGATGAGGACAATATACTCTGGTGTCAATTGCTGCTAGTCTGATAGCACAAGAAATGAATATTCAAGTAGTGAGTTTTAGAATCAAATTTATTTTGAATAGGTAATAAAATTTAGTGACACAATGTGTCAGCCAGTGAGTATTATAAGAGAACAAGGGTGTTTGCAAAGAACTGATGAACAAAACCATCAAGCTTCAGTTACTGAATAAATGTCTCTTTTGTGCATGTGTCAATACACACATGTTTTTAGGTATGCCTGTATATGTTTATTTGTGTTATGAATATGCTGCTTGTGACTGGACCTGGCTAAGGTATAAATCTCTACCCTGTAGAAAGGAATTCCTTGCGTTGTTGTTTCTGGTAATAGCTTATTTTCTATAGAAAGCTACTGTTTCCAAGGTTACAGTTTTTTTAATAAGATAACTAAACTTTTCAAACGGACAAGAGGCCAAGTTCTGTTTCTCTCCAGTTGTATGTTTTAGCACACAACCTGTTTATGTAGTGGTTTTAGCATGTCTTTATAAAAATGGAGTGAGAGGAGGGCAGAACAGAATACCAAACTCTGGTACTTGCCAGCTGATTGCCCTCCTACACTGGACCTGCTCCTATTTCTCCTCAGAAAATACATCACACTTTAGATGGGGTGCTTGTTGCTCCTGCAGAAAAAGAGTCAGATATACAGTGCGTCTACATATAAAAAACGATACTTTTTATATACTTTTGTACTTTTGCAAAAGCATGGGAATATTTTCTTAAATATTTGCTAATGAAAAGAGAATTTTGGAGAGTGTATGTGTGGTTTTTGGAAGAAAAAAAATATATTCTAGATTTTCTTAATTTTAGATACTTTTCTTCCTCCAGCTCCAAGCAAAGAAAAAGACCTTGCTCACTTCTTTTCAGGTGAAAGGACTAATTTGACTCAGAAGGTGATACTGCACATGCAGTAGGTTGCCATCGGCTTCAAGCTAAGAAATAGCATTTGTTTTTCTTCCTTACATGGCATTAGGTAGTGAGTCAGCATATCTACAGAAGCCAGTGTTATCTTTCTCTCCCCTTGGTGTCCAAACACTATCCTGTGTGGGATGGAGTTTGGGTACCAGCAGATAGGTTGGAAGAGAGGCAATTAGCCAAGGTTTGGCAGATGTTGGCATGAGATCATCCTGTTTTCCTCTCCTGCTTTCATGAGATCCAGATTATTCATTGTGATAATGAGTTTGAAATGAGGCCCATTGTGATAGAACATAAGTCTACCACTGATTAATTGATGACATTAGTGAAGAAAATTCACATTTGAACCGGTGTTTAGGAATAAGATAACACATGTAACATTTATGAGATGTGCCTTGTCCTTCACTAGCAGTGCAAATGCTATAAATCAAATAGTTTAAAATTGAGAAAGAAGCCAAACTGTATATTTATGAGAGTACACAGCATTATGCCTTTGAAAATGCAGAGTGTGTTAGTCAATATTACTGTAGACAGAGTCCTGGTACTAACAAGATTAAAACAGAAAATATAGACAGTCTTTTACTAAAATCACAGAGTGAATAATCTACTTTTAACTGACCTAGGGCTGAGTTCTTATAGGGTAGACATTTGCTATGTGTGTTATAAACACAGATTGTCTCTTTCTCTTTAAAAGTGGAAGATGCAAGTGTGGCTAAATGAATTTGGATAGCATCTAGCTAAACCTAAAAAAATCAAACAATAGATTACATTAAGGTAGTAACTAGTGTGAAATGAAAAAGAAAGCTTTTCTGGACAAATTTCTATCCATATTTATATGGATATTTCATGTTAAGTACATGAATACCTAATTTCTAGATACTGACCTATTGAGTCTTTCAATAGGTCAGTATCTAGAAATATTGAGGTATCTAAATCAAACTAAATTCTGTAAAAGTGAGGTTGCCATACTGCTACTTGCTTTTAAAAGTCCTCCTCGGTTCTGAGTATTGGACTCAGAACTTTCAAAATCTGGTTCTTAGCCACATCTTTGTTGACTGTTTCTCAGAGACCTGAGATGCTGGATCAGGATCCTTCAGTAATGTTGTGTAGATGCTCTCCTGGGCAGAGGTTGTCCTGAGATACTTTCCAAGAAGCATCTTTCTGTGTCTTGAAATTCAAGTTGGCAGATCTTTCTACTGGTGGTGGTGGAGCTCTAAGAATCTACACAAAGTCAAACTGGAGAAGAGTGGGGTAGCTACAGAGGGGTAGAAGAAACCTTCACAGTTTCAGGTCACACAAACACCAACAGGATTCTTGATCTTTGTTATTATTTAAGGTGTAATGTCGATGCTGTTGTGCAGTAGAAAGTCATAATTGTAAATGCAGGCATAGGCCTGGTGGGGACGTGGCTCACTTCTGAAGAGGCTTGTGCATTTTCTTCTTTCAGAGAACATTGAAATCCCTTCATATCCTGTTTTCCTTTGCTCTTTCAGGGAACACTTTGTCTAAGAAGCTTTCTTGTTTTCTTGCAGTCCTCATTCCATCCCAGATCGCCTGCGGATCAGAGTGAACAGGATTAATTTACAAGAGTACGAGGGGCTACATTACGACAAGGAAAAGCTCCGGGAAGCTTGTAAGTTGGGAGAAGCCAGATTGTGGCTGCTTTTGGTAGAACATTCTGTACAAACCTTACTTTGACCAAAACAACCCCTACCCCAAAAATAACAACGAAAACCCCCCAAAACAGAGTCAAGCACACACTTTTGGATGAGTAATATCGAGAGTATGCTCATCTATATGTGCATATGTACAAATGAGTTCTCTCTATGTAAATAGCATCTATAGAGATCATGTATAGATATTCCACTGCTTTCTTATTTAAATATGTTTCTTATTATTATATTTATTGTAAAATAAGTGTTTTGTACACAGAGGTTTTTTTATTAATGTCTTTCTGTTGGTTCTGCTGGGTTTCTAGTACATGAAACTGTACCAGATTTTATGATTAGCATCAGATTTCAAGCTGAGTGGGAGACCATGATATATTTGATATTGAGAATGTGCACTGACCTGGAACATGATGCTTGCACAGGTATATTTATCTTGGGGAACAAATCTGGGTTCCCCACACCCTTATTCTTTACCAGCCTTCAGTTTTCCGTTTCAGAGAATAATCGCTGTTTTGTTTCCTCATGTAATGGTTTAATTGCTGTGTTTAGGGGTAGGTCAAAAGCAGACAGTGGTTGCTTTGGCAACAATGATGATGACAATCTGAACTTAAAAATGGAATTCCTTTCCTTGGTGACACACAGAATCATTAATCAACGAGGGACAGGGCTTCTTGCGATAACAATTTAATAGTCTTGTTATGCATCTGGCTCATTATTCATATTAAATTACAAGTATGAGTGTTTGTTGTGCAACAGAGCTTGAGTTCCCTCTGCAATACAGAGTGCTTTGGTAATTACAGGATGACAATCCTTTTAATTGGTTTGCTTATCTTATTGTTAGAAGATAGTTAAGCTGTTTCCATTTCACTCTTTCAGTCCCACCCCTCCTCAATTTACTGTCTCTCCTTACACCAAAAGAATTGAAATAGCTTAAATTTTAACATAGGTCTTGACAGCCTTAATTGAAGTTAGTGGAACTTGGTCATATTTAAAGCAATCAAAGACTTCACTGGACTGAGAAGAATTTTAACAGGATCAGGATTATTCCTCGCTGGAGCAGAACTTACTACATGTTTAAATTGAGAGTTTGACATTGAGTAGATTTCAGGCCACACTGAACACAACTCCCCAACACTGTCAGAAATAACTTGGTTCATTTGAGGGCTTCCCATCTGAGGAGAGCTATTCTCATCCATCCTTAGTATGGATGCAAATTTTCTGTGTCTGTAGTTAGCATGTTATTTGTCCTTAGGAGCCATTACATGTTCTGACACAAAACATACAACTTCTTACACTATTGTCACTGCAGGGGTAGATGTGTATTTATGTTATTTGCCACCTGCCAAAATTCATAATGATCACATTATACGAAAATGCCAGCAACTGATCTAACATCCTGGTTTTGTATTTCATATGGATTTGATCACTTAGAAGGAGTGTGCTTAAGAGGTTATCATTCAAAAAAGAGATGTTTGTTCATCAAGACTTAAAATGATTTCTTTTGACATTGGTGGGTCATTTGTAATGAAACCCTTTGGAATCTTTTAAGTCAATGCATGTCCACCATGATAATGTAACATAGTTGAATTGGACTATTCTCCCCAGATATTTTTCATTTAGTTGCTTTTCCTACTACTCCTCTTTTAACTGTCCCAGTAATGCTTGTGCATTACTGTTGTTACTTACTTTAAGAATGTGAGAGAGCAAATATCCCCATTATCCTAAAAGAGACTAGAAGAAAAGATACTTCACCTTAGTCTTTGCAGTATGAATGTCTTCCCTAGATGCTTGCAGGAGACCAAGTTTATGTACTTGCTCAAGCTTTGGCAGAATACTTACAACTGAATCCAGAATGCTGTACTTAATATCCATTTTTCATCCACAAGGATTAAAACAGTTCAACTTCCCTAAATAATTTGAGAACCAAGTACAATCTCACAGCAGTCTGAAAAGGAAAAGGAAGCCAGTTAATTAGGAGTTGTCCCTTAAGGAAAAATAGCAAAGAACCTATTATGGTTTTTGCCTGTTACATGTCTCCATAATACAATTTTGAAAGCTCTGACCTCACTGTAATAATCTGGATCATTTTAACTCACAGTGAATACATTAATCCCCCTTGCTTACTTGTAATACTGATTTGAATCTATCAACTATTTCACCTAAGATTGTCTTCTGACATGGAGGAGTTCATGATACAAAATGTTCCATGGAGATTGATCTTCACTCTGCTGGAGGTAGACACTTCATTTTGAAAGCCTCCAGAACAATTAAAGAATGTCACTTTGTCCTTTGAAGGTCATGACTGTCCTTAGCTCATTCTCCTTCTGTTGTTTTTTACTTTTCTTGTCAATGCAGCTGGCATTTAACCCAGATGCTGTTTCTGAATTGTCCCTTTCTTCCCTCCCCTTGCTGCTCCTTTTCTCCTGTCAGCATCTCAGTATTGTGTGGGGGATGATTAATGATGGTACAGAGGGTGCTTATTGATCCTTCAGTGAGGAGGGATGAATGCTTTGATGCAGCATTTTAAGAAAGGGATATATGTTGGCATTTTAGTTATGTTTTAATATTCTTCACTGCAAGTGTAGTTGTCTTTTCTAACACCTCCTTATTCATGTCCTAAGCGCTTGTCACCGAAGTCACAAGCTTCACCATCTCTGGCCAATGTGAGAGTTGTACATTACAATGATCACAACTAAGATTATCTCACTCAAGAAGTGAGGTGGACTGATGTCTCTAGGTGGACAGAATTTATTTCTGCCTCTGCTGCCTGCTTGTCTTGTGCGCACTCTCTCTGGCTTCCTGTTATAGCAGTAAAGTGTGACCCAAAGCATCACTGTGGGCGAACAATGGAGTTATTTTTAAGACAGCAAAATCTTTCTGTGTGACACTGTATTTTCTCCTTTCCAATATAACTAAGAATTTCCTGACAATGGAGGCATATGTGGAAACCGATTTGGTTTAAAAAAAAGGCAACAAACAAACCAAACATAAGCTAGTCACCTAGTGATTTTCAGTGCTTCTTAGTTCTTCCCAGCAACACCATTTCAGATTTGCACCATAAAAATATATCAGTGAAATAACCCACCATAAGCAGTTACTGAACAGTTGTGGGTTTTTTTAATAGGGTACGTTAACCCTTACTGCCCTTAGCTTGTTGTGTGTGCCTTAGCCATGGAGAATAATTTTATCTTTCTCAGTACCACTAAGGAGGAATCATACCCAGTTGCAGTGATGACAGTATTAGAAATAACTCTCAGCCTTGTGTCAGCTCTGGGTTTCCCATACTTTCTTTTACACAGACCCAGCTGCTCCTTATGTCCTCTAGAATAAAATGGCACACTAGACTCAAGAGAAATGTTAAAAGAAAATTTAGTTCCATGTGTTTAACGATTGGACTGTAACCTAACAATCCTTTTCAGTGCAGCCTCCTTGCTCTCTGTGTGTGTGCATGATGCTGTAACATAATGGGAGCTTAACCTTGAATTCTTTTCTCTTTGATTATCTGTTGCTAAATGTCTATAATATGTGTGCCTCTAATGTCTGTGGGTTACCTGAGGATTTTGGGGTTATCCTAGGAGTTCTTACAGGGGGTACACAGAGTGACACAGAGATACACGGGGGTACACAGAGTGACAAGCTTGTGAGTCTTTGTGATGTGTACATGTACAGCAATACTGTAGCTTCCTCATACCAGAAGTGCACTTAGAAGCCTTGATCTATCAAAGGCATTCTGACTCTTTAAAACTTATGGATATCACAGGTGAAGCTATATGGAGACTAGCTCATGTGATTTTTGAGCAGCTAGCTAAGTAAGAAAGGGCCAACACTCAGGGCTTGGTATTTATATCCTGAATATGTAATATAAAAGTCAGCAGGGAGCAGAAGACTTCCTGATGAGCCACGAAGGAAATGTGCTTATATTGGGAAGCAATTTTGAGCTGGATGGATTTAGACAAGGCAGGTTGTGCAGATACAAACCTTCTCTTTCATCCTGTAAAGGATGCACCAATGGGCATTTATTTGTCAGTAGATCTCTTTGGGCATATGGTAGAAGCTCCATAAAAGAAAATATTACCTTCAGTCTGCTTAGAGGTCAGTGCCTTGCTCTAACAACTTTCTTTTGTCAATACGTGTTGTGCACACATTAGCTAATTCAGGTATTTCTTCATTACAGTGATTTCATAAGATCTGAACCTGAGAGGGGTTGAATGGATTGCTTAAAGCCTCCCAGCAAAGTGAAAACAAGAGGATTAGAAGGCAGTAGTGAGTTAAATATTGGAAATTGCTGTTCTCTGAGGTTGGGGGAAGGAGTAAACCCAAGCCATTGAAATTTCATATCATGGGGTTGTAGAAGCATAGAATGATTTTAGTGGGAAGGGATTTTTAAAAATCATCCGGTTCCAACCCACTGTCATGGGCAGGGATCTCTTCCACTAGAGCAGGCTGCTCAAAGTCCCTGCCCTTGAACTCTCCCAGGAATGCGGACATCTTCCACTTATCTGGGCTACCCATTCCAGAGTCTTGCCACTCACATTGTAGAGAATTTCTTCCTAATATCTAATCTAAATCTACCTTGTCTTGACACCTCACAGGGCATATTCAGTACAGTCCTCTGCCTTTTGAGCTAGTGGGAAATTGTTGTGTGTTAAATTTGTCATTTTCTTTAAACCAGAAGAGATAGGCATTTATATTTATGAAATTTGTATCTATATAAAATTTATAAATTTATTAAAAATATATTTATATTTACCTTAGAGAAGTGGAGAGAAGCAAGAATATTAAGTTTCCAGGAAATCACACTGTAGTTTGTCTTTCTCATGGAGGCTTTTCTGTGAGGTTCTTCTGTTCATAATCTACTTGCATGTTTCCTTAGTTCTTTTCTGATTTGATTTCCTCTCACTTTTCAGTCCTGGTTGTCCCCTTTGGATAACTCATCCCACATACATCCTTCCTGCCTGTCTTAGTCTGTCTCTGCAGACCTCACAGCACAGGTTCCTGCCTCTTTTTCTTTACCCTAAATACTTATTTGTTGTTTATCCAGATCTCTGCTGTTGGCTCTTACTTCCAATATCCATTCCCAGCCAGCTTCAATTCCCAGCTCTTCGGATTTTTTTTTTCCTATAATCTGTTTCTTTTTGTGTGGTGTTTGGCACAGGTTGTCTCCTCCTTTGACTTGGGCAGCTTCTTCCCTTTTGGCAGGATATTGGAAAAATCCCTGAGAGACTGGAGGGAATGACTGCCTTTTCAAACATGGTCTGGTTTAATCTGATAACCTCCACTGTGTTTTACCTCCTTATATGTGAGGATTTTGCAAGTGGGCTAAAAAAAAATGGTAGCCAATGAACCTAGAGAGAATTGGGTTTTCTCAGTATAATAAGCAGAAGGGATCTGAAGAGACACATGGCTTAGATTTGTGTGGTAAGAAAGTCCTTTTGTACAAACTCAGTTTTATTAAAACCAAACTGTGAAAGCCAAACCTCTTAATATAAAAGTCTGAATATTTTATAATTCTCTATTTTCTTGATTCTTCATATTCATAATATCATATTCTTCATATCTTAATATCGGGAAGCCCTTCAGGAAAATGGCATTCTTATGACATATTCAGTAGTGAGGATCCTTTATTTGTTACATTAAACATTTACAGTCCAATGTCTAATCTCCCCAGTCCCCTGAGGTATCAGAATCAGAATGAGTTTTCCTGGCATTCACATCTACTGTGATGTTCTGTCTCAAGGCTGTTTTGTTTGGGATTTGAGTGGTTTAATCATGGTATTAAGATCACAAATTGAATCCTTTCATAACAATAAACAGGTAAGTTAATTGAATTTTATAATATATATAAGTATGTTTGGGCTTCCTTCATTTGTGTCCTCAATACTATTAAAGAGTTCACTAGCTCTTGGTATTCAGCATAATGGGGACTTAATAGGTGGAAGATTTGTTTATTGCTTACAAATTCCATAGCTAATTTCATGAGGACTTAGGAAATCACTCCTAATCTTGCAGTTAATTAGAACACCAGGCTGGCCATACTGCTGCATCTGCCCAACCCTCCTCCTGCTGATCCTTCATTTTGGTTAGTGTTGCTAGGAACAAAAGCCTTTCTGCGGTACTGGTTCAGATCATAAAACAACTGCCTGCCTGTCTCATTTCCTGGGCTTCTTGCACTGCTGCTCATCACAGCTGCCTGGACAAAATCCCTTTTCACCATTCAGGGGGCACAAAGGAACTGGGAGATGGATGCAAGTGGCCAGAAGAGCAGGCGCCTCAGGAGAAAAATATCTGGCACTTGAGTGCTGTGGCTTGGCTCATGATCTGAGACTATTCCTTATTTTTGGCACAGTCACGTGGGTGGGTTTATCCACATATTCAGAGGAGTGGACAGTGTGTGTGTACATGGAAAGTGGTTTTGTAGTGCCTGTCCTTTTGATGTGTTTGCACTCCCACCTCTCTCCTGGCATATCCAGTAATCCCTGTGCCCTGCAGGGATTTGTACTGTCCACATCCTCATCCACACAGCAAATGCAGAGAGGATCCTTTAGTCCTGGATGAAAGTGCCCACAGCGTTACTGTCTGCTCTGCATGTTGACTTGGCCTTTAATTGATTTATCATAAATTAACTCCTTTTGCTTCTGTTGCGTGCTATTGCACTATTTGTACAATGAGCAGCAACCCCAGAGTTTCTATCCCATTATCAACCACTAAGCATTTGCTTTTGTTTTAGACCAGCAACCACTGTGAGGCACTTTGTAAGTCTTGGCTGTGTGGTGCATTTTGATTGCTTATTGTGGTTTATGATAAAAATCAGGGCTGTGAACATTTTCCTTGCTGAAAGCCAAATGGGTTTTGCAAAAGGAGCCAACCAAGCAACGAATGAACAACAACAACAACAGAAATTGGGAAGCAACATTTTAGCATATACTTTACTGTTATCCAGTAATGACTTTAAAGGCTTTTCAAAGGCCATGAACCATATGGAATGGAACCACTTGACACCTACCTCACACATTCCACCTTAGCTAGCTATTGACCCCAAGTGCCATAGATCATGCTAATTCACGATTTCCAAACAGTTAAGGCAGCACTTTTCTTTTTAAGGATGAAGTCACACAGCCCAGAGTTTCTGAACTGTTCTTTGTCCACTAAGAACCAGTATCATATAATTTAAGTAAAGCTGTGAATCCCTACTTTGTCAATCATTAGATGAGATTCACAAAGTATCACCACTAATATCTACTGCATGCTAGTTTTTTCTTTTTTAGATATTTTGGTGGATTTCTTTAGAATTACAGTTGTTTTAAGGTCCTCCTCTTTTGGTCTGTCGGGAGTGGTGATAGTTAAGGATTCCAATTCTGTTATCTGTGTTGTTTTGTCAGGTCAAAGCTTTAGTCTCCATTAAGTGTAGAGGAGAGAGAAAAAATCTGTGGTGACAGTCTGCGAGCCAGTGCTGTAACTCCCTAGTGCTCTGTAGCTGTTGGAGGTGTAGCCATGTCTGCTACAATTCAGTTTTTAGTGCTATAAATGAATTTAACAAACACTTCTCTCAGTAAGGGCTGCAAAGGGATCTGTTCAATTGAATCTAGATAGCCATTAAGAAGTCTCTGCAAAGAGCTTAAGGGGCTCCTGTCAAAACAGGTTAAGCAATAATAAACACTAAGCAAAGAGAATCAGTCTGTAGCCCAGAGCGTTGGAGTGTTTGAAGCAAGCCCTGCTTCTGACCCTCCTTCCACTTGCTTGTGTCTCAGTCTCTGTTCTGCACTGAAAGAGTCTTGGAGGTCTCCATGACCACTGTTTCCACCTGGCCCGTCTGAAAATGTGCAAGGGACTGTCATCACTATTGGATGTCAGTGTCGTTTCAGGAGATATGTAACCTCTTCCTTCCCACCTATTCCTTCTTTATGTTCTTGTTCTCACTCCAGCATTTTTTTCCCTGCCTCCCATTTTCCTGGGTCTACAGTTCTTCTGCTGTTCAATTTGCTTTCCAAACACAATTCTAGCAGCATTGCTGAGCCCTGTGCTGGACTCTGAGGTCCACAGTGACCTTGACTGCAGCAGGAGCCCCCCTGCTCTTCTCCTTGGAAACCACTGAGCTCCTCTTTGTGCTTCAGGCTTTGGTGGACCAGAAAAATAGGAGCTCTCTTCCCCAATATCTTAGCAATGTCTTGTTCTCTTATCAGAATGAAGAACTTTTAAGTATTTAAATACATCTCTCCCACTTAATCAACTTCTCTTCAACAGCAGGAAGGTTTGCAACACAGTTGTGTTTTCTGTTTATCTCAGAAACCTTGGTGATTTGATGTTGCTGCTCATTATCCAGTTATCAACATTTTTAATGAGTTGATATTCTGTTCTGCTGTTTCTGGAATATTTCATGTGAGAATTTAAATATCTTTCCTGCTGCTCCAATAAAATTTTTGGCCATTATTTGATTAAAGACCCTTCAGGGAGAGAAAAAGAACTTAATTCCGTGATTCACTTTTACAAAATCAGGTACTCAAGAGTGTTCACTTGTTTTCTTTTTATTTAATGAGATCTTAGTAGGCAGCTCTCTTTATTGTGGACTCACCTTTTTCTCTTTTATTGTATTCTTTATAATTTATTTTTCTTTTTGTGATTTTGTTTTGGACTCTGGTGGCAATGAATGTGTGAAACAGAATGAATGTGAAAACCTCAGTCTCCTATTATTAAAATTTTTGCCCTAACCTGAAAGGTTTTTCTGCATTTTCACAAGTTATCTTTTTTTTTTCTGTCTGCCCAAATATGGAAATGTGTCTATTCTGTGTGTAGATGGAATAATATCTGTTTTGGTTTAAAAGCAGCCTTAGATAAAAATAAGCTGGTATTGGATAGCTTTCCCTGATATCAGCCTGTGATTTCTACTGCTTTAAACCTGTAGACTTTGAGTACTGAGAATGAAATATCACTCTTATTTCAAGATACAAGGGTGCCCCCCAAAACTCTTGTTCTGGGATATGTTCCTTTGTTTTACAGATAATATTTGATGTTCAGATGTAAAAATGAAGTACTCAATTTAACTGAATACGTTTTAGCTTCTTTCATGAAACCATGAAAGATGGTTGAAAATGAAATATTTGATAATTATAAGTGGGTGAAAGTGATGATGATTAATATGCTCTTGCTTTTACATAAATGTTAAGGTTTAGATAGCAGAAAACTTTCATGAGGGTATGAAAAAAAACAATGTTAGAAACCATTGCAAGTTTGTTACAGTTCAAGAGACTTGAGTTAAAGAGGTTTATCTTTGTTTCTGATTCTTTCAGCCATTCCCCTAGGGATCATAGTTGTACGAGGAGATTGTGACTTGGAGACTTGTCGTATGTACATTGACCGTCTGCAAGAGGTGAGGCCTTTGTGAATTCAGGTATCATTCACAAACGTGTTTTTTGCTTCTTCCCATTCTGAGTGCAGGGGTCTAATAATTGCAACAACCACGTATCAAGAGTATTGCAATTTACCTATCATTGAAACCAAAAATCTAGAATTAAGATATGATAATAAAAGTACTGAAAAATATTCCCTAAACAGGAAATTAAAAATCATACTGATTCCTTTTAAATGATAACAGAATTGAAGTGGATGGGTGTGTTTACTTCTCCTTGATTTATAATGGAATACTAGGACTTTCCATATACCTTGTTGAAAGTACATAAATTATGGATTAGAAAGTGTGTTATGCAAGGATAAACACTGTGGCATTTAAGTGGGTCTAATTATGCAAATGTCGTTCTCTAATAATGGAGTAATATGAGACACCACTAAGCACAGCAAATATCAACTAGATATTTCCAAAGACACAGAAATGGGTGTTCATGCAACTAAGAATTGTTTTGCTCTTATTCTTGAGCACCTTGCCTCATGAGAGTTCATTCTACAATACACCCTGGGAAATGCAGACTCCAAATGCCTCATTACCCAAATCATTTTAAGTGTGAACCCCTTTAGTTATAAAACTAATGGGTTTTCATTAATGTGTTGTCTCTGACTTTTTCAATCTCTTAGTGATAGCTTTTAAAAATATTTACGAGTCTGATGACATTACATTTATAAACAATTTATATATGAACATTTACAAGACTTTATAAATTGTTGGTCTAGTATACATAGGACTATGAAGCTCATCCCTTCCATTGAACTCTTTGGGAGCCATTAATTTCCAATAAATTTTGGAACTCCACACTTGCAATCTGAATATGAAACTTAGTATCTCACTTCAGGCTTTCACTTCTTTGCATTTCAGCCAGGATTCCCTTTATCAAATGCATTTCTGGACAGTCAGACCTGGAGTGTGACTATTATTATCAGACATAAATCCATATTGTAAGGTGGTGCATATTTGAAGTATCCAGTACAGGAAATTACAGTGAAATACTTATGATGATGATCTCATCAGATTAGATTAGAAATGTGATCTCACACTGAGTCCAGGCAGTCTTAAGTACAACCCCTGAAGGAAGCACAGCTAGATATTTTGGTTGAATTACCCATAGTGGTTATGGAGGAATTGTGTTTCTCCAACCTTTTGCAGGGTTTGTACTAATTTTTGCATGTGTGCTTGATTTGGCTCAGTCCCATTTGCTGGGAGTAGAGATGCCAAAGTTTGCTGAGCTCTGCCAGTTTCCATGCTGCTGCAGGGCAATATTCTGCAGGCCAGGCTCTTTAGTAGACTATGTCATGTGCTATAACTATTTGACAAAATCTCTATTAAAATAAATTAGATGCCTGAACCCTGTTAAATGTCAGGACCATTCTGGTATGACCTTCTTGGAGTGAGGTTGTCTTAAAATAGAGAGAACTGTCAGTGATTTTCTTAAGTGCATTAATCACTCAGAAATATTTGCAAAAGTGTCTTAAAGATTTATGACATATTTTCATTAATTTTGGTGCTGATATTGTAAATTTAGATAGTTCTCTTGGAACAAATAGTTTTTTTTAACATGATAAGATACATTAATGTCATCTCTTTTTGAAACTAGTTTTTTGGGCCAAATACATACAAATCTAAACTTTGAGTGAGCTTTCCTTAGCTTTTCTGTGGCATTTGTTTCATATGCTTACAACCAGTGAAAAATATTTGCCAAATGATTTGTTTTCACCCAACCACTTCAGGTAGTAGAGCTACAAACAGCACTTGTTGTTGCTTTAATCTTTTTCATCACTGCCCTGTCTTTCATTCTCCTGCTAGGATCTACAGTCAGTAACCTCTACTACACAAAGAGTTCATTACCAGGTAAGATAAGCTTTCCTTTTAGTATCAGAACAGAAAGAGGCTTAAAAATGGGAATGACACTCTTTGCATTTGAACCCATATGTTAGATGAATTTCTAATTATGTGATTATCTGATTTACCCTTAAATATTGGAAGCAAGTTCTGATTTCTCCTGGACAAGTTTTATGGAATCATCTTTATAGTTAGCAAAACTTGCTGATGCTTGTGATATTGCAATAGCAGTATTTTCCATGTTGAAGTGAATGAGAAAATGTTTCCTCTAGGACAAATGACAAAAGCAAAATTGTTTCTCTGTCTGAGAAACTGAACAATGACATGTTGTATTGCATAGCTGTTGTAATAAAGTCAATCAATGAGGGGAAAAAAAGGTGTTTTAGCAGGCCCAGCTTCTTAATAATTCTGTACAGGACAGCCATCTACCTTCACTTTACATAATCTTCAGGGTAATATTTTAGTCCATCCTAAGCACATGTGTGTTTTCTGCATGAGATAAATAGCTTTTAGTTTAGGTGGATAGTTCATAAAATTGGTCTCTTTGTGTTTTACAACTTTATTCTACATTTTATGCAGTACTGAACTTCTCTTTTCAGTTGGAAGTATCATTCAAGAATGTGTATTTCTCTCAGTAAAATAATTCATTGTAGAGTGCTTAAACTGGAAGTAAACTGAGTGAGATTAACTCTACTGACTCCTGAACTGATCTGATATTAGCATGGAGATTTGGCATAGACCATGGTCAGTTGACACAGTGCTTAGGATCACAGAACAAGTTTGCATGGTGCTGATAGCATCTTCCTAGAAATAGCTATGCAAGTCTTGTTGGATCAGCAGGAATGAGTTCACTGAAGCATACAGAGAGCCAACCTACAGGAACCAATTGTGGTGAAATTGCAGATAATTTCTTTGGGGTTAATGATTACTTGGGGGATGCAGAAAAACATTCCAGTTTCACAAGAATGCCTGTAGATGTTGTGACTGCAGACACTATAAGAAAACGCCATTTGGCATGTTTTCCTGGACTTGCCTTCTTTTTATCAGTTGATGGTTTGTTTCTTTGTTTCCCTATCCAATGCTAACGTCATATTCTTGACATTTCCATCAGTCATTGCTCTGGAACTGGGTTTTAGAACAGTGTTAGTGTTTAGCAAATTGACTAATAAACCAGCATGTATGATTCTGTTCCACTCATCATGAATTAACCTAAGTGGCTGCTGACTGCTCCATGTGTAGGAAACTGCCTGAGGTAAAATGAAGAACAAAATCTGTGTGTATGGGGAGATGTACAAGAGAGTATGAAATGTCAGAAATCAGCTCCATACTTGGCTCTAACCTCTGCTGTCACAGCAGTATATAAATTAGATGCCTACCCATCTTCTCTAGTGCACAGCAGTGTGAAATCCCTAACATACCATTCATTTTTTATGATGCTACATTTTAAATGCACCCTCTCTCTGTTTTGTCTTCAGTACTTGTTTGTCTAGTATTCTTTTTTTTTTTTCCTCAGTAGTTCATTTCTGCAAATTGTCTCATTAGGTTAATTTGAGGTTTGTTCCATATTTGTTGGTATCCCTCTACATTTTACAGAAATGGGAAAAAGAGGGGGAGAACAGGCATGAATAGGGTGCTTGAGCTGATTGAGCAGTCTTTATACCTCACTAATAAAGTGCCATGGGTACTTTTAAATCTCGTAAATACAACTTTCTTGTGTGATTCCTCTGCAGTTCAAAGCATAGGCAGTCAGCAGAAATATTAGCAAACCAAAGTGCAAATGAGAAAAAATATGCTGGAGTGTTTTCTCATTCTGTTTTGTTTCTCTAATGAGTTTAATGCTCACAAAATATCATTCTCATGGGCCTGAAACTTTGCAAGCTAGTTCTGTAGTGGAACTGCAATGAAGTCTTAGAGGGAGTATGTCAGAATGTGCAATTTGTGACTCAAGTTGACATTTACCAGCAGTATTCCTATCTTCATTTTCTCAGCATTTTGTACTCTATGAATTTTACTCATTTCTCCTCCTTTTATAAACTGCATTTTAGAACACACTATTGGATGTTTTCTTCCTTTTCTCCTTTGTGTTGCAGTCCCCTCCATTCCTCACAGGGTGGACTAAATATAAAGCTTTGTGCATGTAGATACAATCATGTCAGCAAGCCTAGTGGGTTTCAGAGATCCTTGATTTTCTGACAAACACTCCAGTGGCAATACAATCAAACTTAAAATCCCACAAGTCTGCTCACCTGTATTAGACAAAGCTGTATTTTAAATCCGATTCTATTGAATCCCTGAGATGTGTTATTTCCTCCTTATGTACAGTTAGAGTTCACCTAATGGGATGTTTTGCTGCCATTGTCTCCATCTCTGTGATGCACAGAGGCTGGATATCATAAGGTATACATGAGAATAAGGTTTATGGGATCAAGTAAAATCCTTCCTGTCACTTTTACTTTTTCTTTTCCTGCCATGTGACTTGATATTCTGCTCTGTTGTCTGAAAGAGGAGTAAAGTTTAAATCTTGAGCCAACATGTACCTGAATTTACAGCATTTACAGATGTGCTGATTGTACTGCTTAAGATGTGAATAAGGACAGAATCTGTGTCTATACAAACTGTGTGTGCCAAACATCCATGCTACTCTGTTTTGCCCTGTGCAGATATGTTTGTGTTTAAATGTTATATGCAGCAGATTTAGGAAGCTGGCTGGCCATTGACTGGCATAATGAAGCCAGAGCCATGATCATCCTCTGCTCTCTTAGATCCCTTTTGATCCCTTTTACCTTTCCAGTATGAGCTAAAAAGACATGGGGTAGCCTGTTTGAGTCTTTGATAAGTACAGGTCAGGAAGAAGATCTTAATTCCTCCTAATAGTTTCATTTTTTCCCTGGGTTATATAGATTTCACACGTTGTGCAATATCAGTAAAGCAAAATTAAAAAGTCAAAGTCTAGAAAATAGTCCTTTTCAGAGAAGAAACAGTTTGCTGAGTTTTCTTTAATAACATAATTTTCATGCCCTCTCCAGGACCAGGAAAGCTCTTTCCCCAGAGTACTTTCTGTTCAGAGGCTCTCTCCTAGATGGTGCTTCCTAGATGGTAAGTGCATCTCCCTTCTGCTGTGCCCAGCATGCTGCCTGCTTCTGGTGTGCTTGTGGAGGATAGTTCTGAGTGTAATACTAGAGAGTGGTTCCATCTTGTTACACTGAGCAGGTAAAAAAGGAGCTCAGTCTTCCACTTTCCCCTCTAAAAAATTAAACAGGCCCTTCATCTAGCAATCAGAATATCTGCTGTAGCTTTTCCTTGCCACAGAGAGGCAGGTTAACCTTTTCCTTGTCCCTGAGGCAGGTTAGAAGCTTGGTTTATCAGTGCCTCTGCTGTGATGAGCAGACTTAACTGCATGCACTGCCAGAGCTCAGAGTGCAGCCAGTTGTGGCAATTCACTGCTTGGTCTAAGGCTGAGCCCTTCACCCTGGTTTCTCTGCAGGTGCTGTAGTCTTTAGGCACTAGAGTTTTTAGGTGACAGAAATGTACCTCCCTTTCCTTGTAACCCTGTGCTGGAGAGCTGCACTTGTATTTGACCCAGACTTTGTCAAAGGAGATGACTTATCAGGGCCTTACATCAGGTTCCAGAGCACAGGAATTAGCAGATGAAATGGATGGCATCTGCTTTTAGAAAAGCTTCAGCATGGGGAGGCTTAAATTTTTAATGCTCAAAACAAAACCAAATTCTCCTTGGCAATTTCTAATCACCATTCCTTGTCTCTCATGAGGGACATTGATAAAAGCCATAGTGAGAATCTGTTTGGTTTTTGGAGAAATCTGGATGGGTAGATGTGTTCAATTTTTGTCTTTAGTATTTGATATTCCTGTGAAGTGCCAAAACCTACAATGCTACATCACTGTGCTCTTGTGTCAAAACTGCAGAGTGAATGAACCTGATTTCACTCACCCGAATAAATGCAAAGCAGATAAAAAAAAATCACATCTGGTAAAGCACATTGTGGATGATAAATACTTTTGAGGTTAGTAATATAAATTATTTGGCAATGACAAGATTCATAATACGTGCTTTATTTAGTGAATCCCCCTATTTTCATGTGTTTTTCTGAGTAGAATAAATTTTCCTTGAGCATATTGCTAATTCAGAGTCAATATCTGTGGCTGAGCATTTGATTTATAAAGAGCTCCTAAGCATATTATTGTTCTTTAGATTCAGAATTTGAATTAATCCCATTAGACCCATCAAATTCAGTATATGCTTGCTTTACTCTCATCAGAACAAATCAGATTTTTCTGTCACATATTTTCATGTAATCAATTCTTCTTATAAGACTGAAATCCATTTTATACATTTTAAATTATTAAGTTAATGTTTTCAGTGACTACTGTTTCATTAAGGCTTCTCTTTAAATTCAGCATTTAATGGGATAGGAATATTGCAGAATCATAGAATGTCAGTGGTTGGAAGAGACCTTAAAGATCATCTAGGCCCAACCCATCCCTGCCATGGCCAGGGACACTTCTCACTAAACCAGGCTGCTCAAGGCCTTACCCAGCCTGACCTTAAAAACTACCAGGGTTGGTTGTTGTGTTGGTTGTTGTCCCCAGGGTTGGGGAATTCACAAGTCATTCTTGTGAATTCTATCTCACCACTCTCACAGTAATTTCTTCCTAATACCCAGCCTGAATTTCCCCTTTTTTCAGTCTGTACCCCTTACTCCTTGTCCTGCCACCAGAGTTCATGATGAAGAGTCTGTCTTCAGCCTCTCTGTAGACATCTTCAGATGCTGGAAGGTTGCTTTGACGTCTCCATGCAACCTTCTGTTCTCCAGGCTGAACAGCCCCAAATTTCTCGACCTGTCTTTGTAAGGGAGATGCTCCAGTCCCCATAAAAACTGCACAGCCCTCCTCTGGACTTGCTCTGACAGTTCCAGGTGCTTCTTGTGCTGGGGGCAGCAGAACTGTACGCAGCGCTCCAGGTGTGGTCTCAGAAGAGCAGAGGCAGACAATCCCTTCCCTTGACCTGCTGGCCACTTTCCTTTTCACAGACACACAGGACATGCCTGGCTTTGTGGGCTAAAAGCTCACCCAGGTGGCTCATGTTGAGTTTTTCACCAGCCATCACCCCCAAGTCCTCCTCTGTAGGGCTGCTCTCAATCACTTCTCCACCCAGCCTGTAGGTGTGCTGGATTGCCATGGCTCCTGTGTAGGACTTTGCACTTTGCTGACCTCCATGAGGTTTGCACTGCCCCACCTCTGAAAGGTGCCAAGGTCCCCCTGGCTGTGTCCCTTTACTCCAGTGTAGTGTGTTCACTGCTCCGCCAAGGCTGCTGTGAGCAGGGAGCTTGCTGAGGGCATGCTCGATTCCACTCTCCGTGCCACTGGCAAAGATGTTGGTCACAGTACTGACCCGAGACGCAGCACTGATATAGGAATTAACTTATATTCTTGTGGAGACACTGTGGCTTCCCTGACACAGGATGTGTTTTAGGAGCCAGTGATGTTAGTGCAGCCCAGTTTGTCCATGCAGTCCTGCTCAGACTGTTTTCTGCTGTTGTTTCTCTGTCTTGCAGCAACTTCTGCTGATCGTTTTTACCGCATTGACAGATCTCAGGTAAATCCTTATTCATTTTTTGTTTCTATACATTTCTTTATTTTTAAAGCTACATCAAATGCAGCTTAAAATGAATTATCTGCCATTCTTCCTGTCTATTGCAAAATGTTACTCATGATGTCTCATGAGAAGTAGAGAAAAAACTCTGGGCTGTTTTTTAGTTGATCTAATTCATGTTGTTTTACTGAAGTCTTATATCTGCTGACCATCTGCCATTCTGTTTACTACCAATCTGATAGAGATCAGAATTTTCTGCAATTGTTTTCCTTATCAAATCTTACTTGGGACATCTGTGTAGCAACAACATATTTGTATTTATCTTTTCAATGTTGCTTTTAGGCACCAGAAGTCTTGCCTCCTGCATGTGCATGTGTGTGCTGTGAAACAGCTATGGAAATTAAGATATTGTTACAATTTGAGAATTATGAACAGAGATGCACAAAATATTCACAAGGAACCCCAAAATAATGTGTATCTCTGGTGGGTTCAAACCTGTGGCATAGATATGACAATCTGAATATATTTTTAAAAAGACACTGAAAATTTTACAGGGCTTTTGGTGTTTCTGATTTGTAGCCAGAACAGGCCAATTAGTTGCTTAGCATTAAGTGCAAATTGTTGATTTCACACTGTGGTTGTTTGTATCTGGTCCCCCTGAGAGCTGTGTAAGCTGTTTCTGAATCACATGAACATGTTACTGTTTCTTAGCAAAAGCAGCTGGTGCTTTAGCTCAAGCAGAAGGAGCTGTGACTTTAGTTCAGAGTTCCCCTGCTCAGTGTCTGCATGTAGACACCATGGGACTTCTTTGCACACAGTCAAATAAATGGTTTGATGTTGTAATCTAACATTGGGAAGGCAGGAGTGAAGAAGATGCTGCTGCAGATTAAACTGGGCAATTTGACTCTGTTTGCCTTATTCTGCATTTCTCCAATCCTTGATACTGTACTAATGGTCATTTTTAATGCCTACTCTTTCATCCTGTGATTCTGTGAGGAAAAAATTAAATAATGTGTGTTGGTCCCAGCACACAAACTGTGGCAAATTTCCTGCCCATTTCCCTGCATATATAGGCATACTCACACTCAGTGGTTTTTTTTGAAAGGCAATAAGCCTTCAGTGTCAATACCAAAAATAAAGGATTGAGAAAGAGAGCTTTGGTAATGGAGATGTGAAAACAGAATGTACAGCTGGTGGAGATCTGGAAGAGTATCCCCAAACAGAGAAAAGTTCTGTCAACCATCTTCAAAGAAGAGACTTCAACTGTTGGTCCTCATTTCAAAATGCAGATCTCAGCTTGATGGGTAGACCTCCAGGTTTCATCAGAATGGCATAGTCATCAAGGAACAGCCTTTGAAATATTGCTGTGAGTGTGCAGCTTGCTCATGGGGAATCTTGTTTGACTTGAAATCAATGACATATAAATCGGTGACTTCTGTGGCATTGATGTTAATGTGTATATGAGTACACACTTACATGCAGAGTCCCTTGAATATTCTCCAGGGAGCCTGACATGCACTCAACTCATTCTAGGGCAGCTGGGTACTCTGAGGGACCAGTGATGCTGCAGGTTCATTATTTGTTGCTTGTGTCACTCTGACAGGAACATTTGCACTTTGTGACGGAAATTTCGCAGGACGAGATTTTTATTCTGGACCCAGAGATGGTAATGTCTCAGCAGGTGGGGACGCCTCCAGGAATGCCTGACCTGGTAGTGGAGCAGGCAACTGGGTGAGTGCTGCTGGAATCTGGTTTTCAGCAGGTGTGTTAGAGATAGGCATCTCTTTCTGGCCCCCCTTTCTGAGGGATTAGGAGTTGTGGGAGGGCAGATATTCTATAGGAATGAATCCAGCTGTGGTAATGACAGGAGAACAGCAGTGTAACATCTGCTCCATTAGGCTTCCTGGAACACACAGCAGGTCTAGTGGACTTCAGCACCTTTTAATCACCTCACACCACCTGACCCTAAATCCTGCCATAAATCTCTAACAATTGAGTTACAAACTTCTCTGCATGGTCAGAATTCTGATCCCACTGTGTAAAGCCCTGAAGCCCTTTGTGTGTAAGAATGATCATGAAGTGTCTCTGTTTCTTATCATCCTCTTGACAGACCAGAAATGCTTCTATTCATCTTTAGGAACAGCACTCATAGTGAATTAATCTATTTTAACTTGCTATGGGCTGGAAAATGCTGGGAACCAATGAGCAAGGGAAGACAGCTTTGAAGTGGGGTGTGAATGCCTTTCTCTTCCTCCTCTCCTTAGAATATCAGAGCGGTGGAACCCCGCGGTTCGGAAGAGGATGCTGAGCGACAGCGGCCTTGGAAAGATTTCTCCCCACTACGAGGTACCTGACAAACAAAAGGACGCCAGCCAGACACATATGCTGCAGTAAGAGCCCTCTGCATTTCTCTGCTTGATGATGCCCTGTCCCTGTCACCACAGACAACTCTTAATGTCTCCTTTAAGCTTAATTAATTGTGCCGAGATGCTGAAATTGCAAATACTTTTTGCTGTTTCTCTTTTGCTTCTCCCTTCTGTTCTTCCTCTTTGTCCATTATTTTATGTTCTTGCCTTTGTTTCATTCTCTGTGGCACCCTCCCCTTTTAATAAACCTAAATCCAAGTTTTTGAAAGAAAATACCTTATTTTTGATGTCTGAAGTTCCAGCTAAGAAAATCTTGGCAACTGGTTTGGTGAAAGATCAAAGCATTCACCCTCAAGGTAGTTCTGATGCAAATGTGATAAAACAGAAACCTCCAGAACTGCTGCTTGCTGTCAAAGGTGTAGGCAAAGGTTTTCATATAATCTTGAACCATGTAGGATGGCTGTACAGTGGTTTTCTTTTTGATAATTTACCCATAAAAGAAATTTTTTCCTTAGTACTATCTACTATGTTCAGATTAATTTAAAAATACTTTTTGTTCTGCTTACCAATGTTAGAAATTGTTCTCAACTTTTTGGTTATTTCACTTTAGATTTTCAAAACCATCAGTGGATCACTACCAAAGATTAGATGAGAAATGTCTGCCAGAAACTCTGTTGCTGGATTTGAAGTTATTTGTGACTTGGGGTTGTATTCCTCCTATCCCTCAAGTAAATAATGTATAATTGTGTTTGTAGTTCTACTGTATCAGCAGCCCCATAGGCAGGTTTTAAGACTTAGGATAGTAAAATTACGATTAGTGACAATGTGGCCTTTTTTCAGATTTTTTTTCTGTCAGGATGTGTGTGGGAGAGGACTGCAAGGTACAGGGCAGGCAGAGCCTACAGCTCTAGGACAGGTGCAGTGGGGATGGCAGGCTGTCTAGCTATGAGGCTACCAACTGGAAACTTTCCAGCTAACTGGAAAATGCTGTCATGAGGAGATGTCATGGCAAGAAAGGGTGATCAAGGTAGCCCAACCAGGAGAAAATCACCTGGTTTTCTCCCTGAGGTATTCTGGACCAGTTCTTGATATTCTCTGCAAAGTGAAGAATGGTGAATTCAGGTTCATTTTTTCCATAGACTGGAATGGCAGGGTCCAAAATCTGAAGCTGGCAAAGCTTTGAGAAAAATGATGTTTAGACAGTTCAAGGCAGTGTGGAGAGATGGTGAGAACAGGTGGACTAATTTCTTATTGATAAGAAGAGTGATTTTGTTTACATCAGCATGACTGGAAATGTTTGCTTAGCTGTTACAATTACATTTGGTGGATTTATTAAGTACAAAGTAAGCTAGTATCATTGCTCAGAGTAAAGTGTCCCTGTCACTGCCTACTATGAGGAATTGTTTACAATTTCTCTAAACTTTAATTGTTTTGGCTGAATATTTCATGCTAAGACTCAGTCTATGATTCTTTTTCTTTTAGTAAACACTTTAACAAAAAGGCCAGTTCTTTATGAAGACAAGATTTGTGGGAAATGTGCTTCTTCAAATGACCTTCCTTCAAATAAATAAATCCAGGGGTCCTTTCCTGAGTTGTGTTAGTGCTGGTAGTGGAATGAACCTCATTGGAATGAAAATTTGGAAGCTTGACATTTAGTAAAATGTCATCATAATACCAGGGAGATGCCTTTTGCTGTCTTGAAAATTACCCCTGAATTTGCCCTGTTGATGAGGCTGTTCGTGCACTTTGGAGACACCTCAGATTCAAGAGCTTTGCTTTCCAAAGTTTCTGTCTGTACATGCTCACAGAGGAGTTATGCTCCTTTGGGCTTAATTCAGGTTGCAGACCTGAGAGAAGTGGGACTGTGCTGCTCATTATCTGATCTCCAGCAGCAGGAAGAAATGGGATGCATCAGTCACGGTCAGATGGAGATGGTCAGGACAAGGTGTGTGAAGAAACAAGGAAAAGAGGTTGCAAGGAGTAGAAGCACAAAGAGAGCATGTGCAGGGACTTGGGGAACAGGATTAAAGGATGGGAGCTGTTCAGAGCACAGAGGATAACCAGGTGTCTGGGGAGTCGGAATGGAAATAATGACAAGGAGGAGGGCATGGGGTACAGATAGGTAAGAGATGAGTGAGACAGGCTAGGGGTATGGGGGAAGGATCTGTGGCTGTTTCTCTCCAGAACAGAGAATTCTGAATTTAATCATGTTATTACACAGGTGGGCCAGCTCTGAAATATATTTAAAAACTGCCTCACTTGCCACCAAGGTGGAAGTGTATGGTAAGTGAGTCAGGGGACTGCAGTGGAGGCAGCAACGTGTTATTAAATTTAAGACAGTTGAATGATGCTCTGTGGGACTGGCTTCTCTTTTCAGCATGTGTGACAGAATTTTTGAATGGTGAGGATTTGCAACAAACTTTTCACAAGTGGCCAGTTAACCATGGGCTTCTCATTCTGTGCATGTCCACTGTGAAGTAGGTTTGGTTACTGGGGGCCACTACAGGGAGATTTTTGAAAGAGTGTGGAGGGCTGGAAACTGAGAAATAGGATTTCTGTTCCCTCAGGTTGTATGACTAAAATGAATGGAAAGTTAGTGCCTGCTTTCCCAGGTGCAGAATACAGATAATATTGCAACCTCACCTTAAAGGAGCACAGCCAGGGCAAATTTCATGGTCTTGAGAAACCTGGATACTATGGGGAAACTCTGTCAGAGGTGCTTAGCAGGACATGAATCATTTTGCATTCTGTGCACGGTCTTGGCAGTCTGGAAGAAATAAATCTTGAGGCTGTGCAGTGCATATACGGGAGGATATCAAGAAGGTTTTGACTTAAACTCTGAGGCAAGACTGCAGCAGAAGAAAATAGAAAGTGGCAAAGTGACTACAATTTTTCATAACATTTGAGCGAAACAGACTTAAAGTATGATCCCAAATTTCCAAGCTTCTGGATGTTTGACTTAGCAATCTTAACAAAAAAATCCAACATGGCACTTTAAAGAAAAAATTAGTACTCTAGAAAGCATTATTATATTTTGGCAGCTGAAGTTCCTCACGGGTTCTTTGCAGAGATTTGTCCCTTCAGAAATTATTTTTCAATTAAAACTTGAGAAAAGGATTTCAGCAAATTTCCTAAACAGGAATATGGCAGAGAACAGAGCAGTCAGTTCCTCCTGTACACAGAGCTCTCATGGATCTTCAGAGTCATCAGCATCCAATGTTTTTATTGAGTCAGAGATATTGTACAGCCAAAATACATTATCCTATAGCCTAAGGCAAATGACAGGAGACTTGGTGTGAGAGAAAGGGTCATAGTTGACTCACTGGGAGTGCTTTCTCAGTGGTAATTTTTTCTCCTAAACGGGATGTGACCACAGCTGGTCACAATTTATCTTCAGGATGCTTAGAGTGTATCTGTCATCACTATATACACACATACAGATGTGTGTATATACATGTTTATATATGTATATACATACATATAAAACTTCTTTAAGATAAAGTAATTATTTCTGACAGGTGAGGAATGTAGCTAAAATTTCAAAGTTGAATGAGCTCTTATATTATTTCAATAAATGAAAGCAGAGAACAGAATACATGTTCTAAAACTAATTCTAATGTTAGGTGTTTCTTTTGATCACAAGCTTGTTTGGTAAAAGCATAGTGTGAATATAATGGTTTTGAGGCAGGGGTCTTTCTGAGATAAAAATTACGCTTTTTCTTCAATTAACTGATTTCATGTTATTTTCAGGTAGGTGTTGGTTAATAGTATTTCATGTTGTGTTCCTTATTTGATAGCTCTTTGGTCTGTGGTGGATTGTACAGGACATGAAACAGTGTCTTGATGCAGTAACCATGAGCTGGGGCAGATTGTAGTTTAATAGGGACATCAATTAGTGTGAACACTGTGTTTAAAAAAACACATTGGGACGACAATTTACTGGGACGACAATTTACTGGGACTAGAGGTGCTTGATCTTGAAAAAAAGATAAATATTCTAGTCTGACTGCACTGATGCTGGAAATTGGACCCTTCCTTTGTACATGAGTGGTTTCATCCTATGATTAAATGGTGCAGTGAGAAGCAGAAGACCTTACAGCCTGCTGTGTGTTTGTTGTTGGCCATATATTTGTCTTCTTGGTTGTTTGTCATGCTGTTATATGATGAGAGCTGGAAAATTCAATAAAATAAAAACCCCAACAGCATACAGAGATGTAAAGGTGACTATATCTTGGTAGAAGTTTAATCTATGTCTTTTAATTGAAGTAATTAATTTTCCCACCATTCAGGGCAGCAACCAGCTCTTTTCTAGCATCTGTCCAGCTGTGATGGTAATGTGTTTCCCAAGCTACTGGCTGCATTTTCTGGATCAAGTGCATGGCTTGTGAAGGGTGGGCGAAGGTTGGCCAGGATGCTATCTGGTCTTGTTAGGGAGAGGAAGAAATAAATGCCTGTAGGTGCTGGAAGATGGCTGCAGCCCTTTCCACTAAATAGACATTAATTAGCTAGTAATACCATCCAGGCATTGCTTTATGGAGCTGTAATAACCTAGTTTCTCAGAGGGAAGAAGAAAAAGGCTAAATGCCAAGTGTTTCACTCAGCCTCAAGAATCTGATCGTTGCCCAGGAAATCAGTGTGACAACACAGATGTTACAAGGTGGTTTAGGGTATTTTTTAAAGAGAAATCTTCATGTATTACAAGATGATAAGAGCATCAGGGATATAAATTTGCATGTTAAAGGAGAAAGAATGCTAGTTTAGTGGAAGCTTAGAAAATATAAAAAGATGATTCAAAGCATGCTAGGCAGGGACTGCCTGGTGACAGTGAATCTTTAAAATGTCAAAGGTTGGTAAGGACTTGAAAAATCTAAGAGTTTGCCTGAAAAATATTGTGTTGGAAAACTCAGCATCGGCTCCGAAATAGGCAGAGTTGTCTACTGTGGTGTTTTTGATAGCAAAATCTTAATTAATTTTCAGGTTCAGATTTAGTTCAAGCTGCATTTATAAAATTACGCTGCAAGAGT